AAATTTATGAATAATGGTCATAGAAACGATGTCAACATATCGTTTAAATGACAAATTAAAATACGTCATCAGAGATGCGATAACATCCAAAGTGTCGGTTACTTCTTTTTTTACTTTCGTTACGGCTTCGTATAGCTGATCAGAGTAATTCTTTTTTTTACTGATCATTCCCGGTTCGTCCAAAGTGAATGGATGGTTTAATTGCTCTAGATCATATATGAAGTCGATATATTTGGTTGCTTCATATCTACAATCATCAAGTAAATTAGTCGTGCAAAACCTTTAACAAAGAGAAAAAAATTTTTAATTAAGTGATATATTGAAATAAAAATAATAAATGTATTATAAATTTAGAATAGATAACATACTCCATCTGTGAATATAATGTTGGAAATCTTAAAAAAGCTATTTCCAACTCCTTTCCTGCTAAATTTGTTATTATTTCGTATATTCGTGTTAAACACTCATGAGAAGGATTTCTCCATCCATTTTGAGACTTTCGAATCAATTGTGTCACGGCCGGATATGGTGTAAATCCCGGGAGTAATTTTCCACGAGAGCTATTAATAATATTGGTGATCTCGTGTTCGGTAATCACAGTGTTAAAGCCTCTTGCCCCTGGCGCAACATCGTTAATAAATTCTTTCAATGCATCGAACTTCATTCCACCAACTGCGAATATTGATCTTGAAGAACAAGCTTCTCTTTTAAACTTCTTAAATTCGTTACTGATGGAATTCCAAAGCTCAGTATTATTGTCCGAGCTTATTGCTTCTTTAATCTTGGCTGAACATTCTTTAATCATGCGATATAACGCTAGTCGTGGATTTTTTCCGGGAGGTTCCGGAATTTTTTCTAATTTAGCGTGTGCCTAAATATTTTAAATAAGCAAACCTTAAAAATATAAAAAATAATAATTTAAACGGAAGTAATTAAACACTTACTGCATCTAAACCCTCTTGGACCCTTTTCTTAATTGCCGGAAGACCGTTCGCTATAGCTTTAATTAATAAATCAGAAAGTTTTGATTGCAATTTCGTGACACCAATGCGTTCGCTGAACTCGTAGCAATCACTCCATGGCATTTTATGTCTAAAAAACTATAAATGCATATTACAGTATTAGAACATAACAATATTATATGATTTAAAGTAATAATTAAAACACTAACATCGTCTTCTTCTTTCCTAGCATCTTCAAAAGTTATTTTTTCCACCAATTGCATCTTATTTGGATTTTTAACAATATAATATCCCAGAGAAAGTTTATGAGCCTCTCCTCTCATAATTTTTAACCATGGCTCATGAGTGCCCGCTTCGATCATGTCAGGCTTCGTAAGAACACCGAGGGTACGAGATCCTAACGGGTCTACTGTCTTTGCGAGAGTGACCATCACCTGATTATCTATTTCATCCTTACATGATATGGTCGCGACAATGATGGATTCTTCTTTTTTAATATAACTATTTACAAGATCCTCAATCATTTGAACGAACTTTCTATCTTCAATTTTTTCCGTGTGTCCTATTTTATTGGATAGTTAATTACAGTGTGTATTCAAGAATGTAAAAATTCATCATTACTATATAGTACTTACGGATAATTCCAGGTAGATCTATTAAACTTAAATTTGGTACCCCCTTTCCCCTTATCTCTAGACAAACTACGTTTTTCGTAAATTTAAGTTTGTTCGAATTTGGGTCTTCCTCGTAATTTTCAAAGCTCCAATCAATATACTGATCACTGTCATTTAAAGGATTTAATAGGGCCTTTTGAGCTCTACGAGCCATAAGTTCAACATCTTTTGGATCACATATCTTATTTCCGAATTTTATCTCTTTTGAACGAAGAGGCTTATCATTTTCATCATATTCATGACGTAAAGAAATTTGGCATTCCCATGGCTCTTCAGATTCAATTAGGCGTAATTCCATAACACAACGAGTGCAGGTTCCATCGGACCTTGGCAACTAAAAATATGATATTTTAAAAACCATACGAAACGTTATTTTTTAAGTAGCATAAGGAAAATTACCGCAACACCAGAGATGGCTTCCAACAAAGAACTTTTTCCAGCGGACTGATTACCGCAGAAGACAATTGTGGGAAGGTTGACCTCAAATTGAGTGCCAGTACGACGCAACTGATTTAGTATTTCGACATATTTCGACGCTTTGTATTTATATTTAGTATCTGAAATTGTCGATATTTGAGTCATTTTTTGATAATTTATTTGTTAATAAAAAAGAGGAGTTATCGGTAATGTCATTCGAAGAAAAACCTGGTCTTTTTATATTAAAATTTCACGTACGGTACTACGGAGGGGTCGAATAAAGTTGAGGCCCACAAAAATTTATGCCTTAAAGAAAGTAAATGAACAATGAAATTCTAAAGAATAATTTGTAGTATTAAATTTTTGCTCTTGTTTCAATTTATAGTAATATTGCCTCCGGATGTATTTATGTTTTTGTTCCATTTTATGGTAATGAATGCACATGGCGTGCTCTTTTGACTGGACTTTATAAAACGAAAGAATTGTATGTACTGTAGTACGTATTTGTTAATTTAAGGCAATGTACAGCACAGTAATTGTACAGTCACCAATGATGACTACCCGTACATACTATAATTGGTCGTGAACACTACGCTGCGGAAATACAAAAAAGAAATAATTTATGATAAGTGACTTCCATACTCTATCGACTTGATTTTATTTCGGGTAGTAGTATTTGCTAAATTTATCATTAGATATCGTATTAAATTTTTTTGGTTTTGTTTGAATTTAAGGTAACAATAACGTACTAAACGTACGATATTTTTTGTTTTTGTTTCAATTTTTGGCAACATACACTAACACGCACTAGCACGCATCACCTACCGCAAATTTTGTAATCGATTTTTTTTGCAAGGTGATACGAATAGCTGGAATGGATTTGGCGAGATCATTAAACAAGAAAAAAAAAATCGTTTCCTGTTTCAAACTTTAATGCTGCGCATATATAAATTATATATAAGCTAAAATAAAAAATTACAGATTACCATCTAGTATATCCACCTCGTGTTTTATTAGCATCATTAATTCGTTCCGGTATAGTATCTATAAGTATTACAAAAGTCAACACTAATACTATCCCATGCTATTTTTAATTTTCCCACTAATCATTAAAAACTGGATCAGATAATTTTCTTTAATGTCTATCAACCTTATTCCATAAATTTGCTATTGGGTTTAAATTAGGAAAGTAAGAATTTTCATAAATCTACTTCTTAATTAATTTAACAATATATTTTGTTTTTGATTTTTTTTTTTTTAATTCACAATCATGTCACAATGGCTTGTCTTTATTGAGAAATTAAAATAAAATCTACAAATAGTTTATAGACTTTCACAAAGTGACTAACTCATCTTCATACATAAGTATTCTAAGTTAGATTTTAAAAACAATATTATATTCTCCTGATAGATTGGTAATAACCTCTATCTAAAGATCATTGCCAATAGTTTGTTACTATTGACTGATTCAAAAACCAATGAATTGCTAAGTTAAAAAGAGAAAAGAAAAAAATGATTAAAGAAAGAGAACAATTTAAGACTCATCAAAAAAGTCCAAAAATAAAAACAACCTCTTCTCAAAAAAGATTAGTTTGATTGAAATAGTTTTTTTGCTTTATTTGAATCTTGGAAAAAATCTTTTTTTTTCACCATTTATAGTAATAGATAAGTCAATTCAACTGATCTTTTATTTAAATAAGCATTGAATTGAAATATCTCAAGAAAAGTATTTAGACCTTAGCTTTTTTTTATTAAAACTTTATTATCACTTGAGAAACTTAAGTAAGAGATAAAAGTTTGCAATCACATTACCCATTACTTGATCTTTTGATATTATATAAGTTTTAATTAAGGAACTTGGGCTTTTGAAAACAAACTTTTCCATAATATTTTTTTCAATTACCAATAAAATTAATTATCTGAACATGTGGATATAACCAATAAGAACTTGTTTATATTTCAAAAACTAATATATTTTATATTAGTTAATTACCTTTCATAAGAATTTGTATTATCCGAAATTTGGGATTAAACTGAAGAAGGCAAAATTCTTCAAAAAACTATAAAAGCAAAAGCTTTAAAAAGATCAAAATAGTTAAAAAAGAAGAAAATA